TGTGGAAGTGAGTGGGATGTTGAGTTGAAGCTGGTTTTGGGAGGTCAGAGTAGTGTGAAGGGAGGTTGGTATAAACCCAGGGTAACTACAAACATTCTGTAATCAAGAAGGAGGTGTCTCCAGCCTTAGGGCTGGGCTTTGGGCTGCTCACCTTAGTGTGCAGGGGAGGGAGGGAGCAGGTGGGCACTTCTGGCTTTGCCCCTACCAGCAAATGATGGTGGAGTCCCCATCCCTGGAGGTGTTCGAGGAACAACTGGACCTGGAACTCTGGTCTGGGGGACAAGGTTGTGATGGGTCAAAGGTGGGACTCTTGTGATCTTGGAGATCTTTTCCAACCTTAATGATTCTGTGAAATGGCAGGAGATGCCCCTTCCCTGGCATCATTCCTGCTGGTTTAAATCCAGCAGGATACTTGTGGGGTGTTTGGGAGGTGAGATTCCTGCTGAGCTGTTTGGTGGCTGCAGTGCTGCCGTGGCTGTGATACCACCCAAACCCACAACAGCACCTCCAGGTTACATATATTATTTTTTTTCCTTCATCTTTTCCACAGAACAGAGAATGTCTGTCTCCTTGGGGGTGCTTTTGCAGCAGGACAATAAATGGCATCCCTGGGACTTCCCTTGCTCTTACAGCTGCGCGTTCTTATAACAAAAAAATGTGCATCTTGGATTTTTCCATACTGGCTCCCAGAGAGTAGGTGAGTTTGGTCAGGATTTGCACTGTTTCAGGATGTCCCCAGCAAATGTGGTTTCACAGAGACCTTCGTGCTTTTCACAGTGTTGGCTTCTTTAGCCCTTTGTAAATATTTCACCCGTTTTTAAATTATTCATTCACTAAGTGGCTTGGAGGGGAGAAGGAATCACGCTTAAAATACGTGTTAGGACCTAAAACACTGCAAAGCTGAAAGGATGTGAAAAAAATAATTTGAGAAAGGATTTTTACTCCAGAACAAACCCTGTTTAAGTCCTGGGAGGGGATGGGAGATGAAGGAATGTGGTGTGACGATGGACCTGGTGCAGGCTGAGATGTTGCTGGGATTTGCAGAGTTGGGTTTTGCATTGGGGTGGGATTTGGAGGCTGAGATCCATGTTGAGGGGCCGGCACTGAGCTTGAGGTGGCCACACTGAGGGGTCACAGGGTACCTGCAAACCTGGAGGTTCTTGGTTGTGTCAGTGGTGCTTACAGCCATGGTGTGGATCTAATCAGTATCTATTCTTCAGTTTATTGGTAACCTATGACTTTTGCATAATAATAATAATTAATCAGTTTGAGGTTGGGGTGACTGAAATTGCATATTAAATCTGCGTCCCACACAGTGCCCCTTGCTGTACCAAATGGGGAACCTTCCCTTTCACTCTACCTGCCTCTGAGCAATAAGTGAAGGTTAAATGTTGTTCCTGAAGGGAGTGGTGTTTGGGTTGTTTGAAGGGGGAATATGTGGCAGTGACACGCAGTTTTATGGTGCCTCTATTCTGGCACCTCAGAACGTCATGGGGCTGTTAATTAATTAAAGCCTATCAATGCCATCACGAGCAAAGGTGGTGGGTTTTATCAGTGATAACCACGTGCTTTGAGCTGTTGTGTGGTGCTTTGTGGGGAGGGCACGGGAACCTGGATGGTTTAGCAATGGGAAACAGGCAGAGACGAGCAGGGCTTGGAGGCCCTGGGGGTGGGTGAACACCCTGAGATGGGGAAACTGAGGCAGGGCGAGGGTGAGTCACTAGAGCAAGCTGGGAGAGTCAGAGCTTGGACTAGTGCCCCATCCCTGGGAGGTCTTTGCCCTTGGCTCCCCTTGCTGATGGTGTTATCCCAACCTCAACACAATACCTCCAGCTGTGGTTGAGCAGCCTGGAGTGGGACAGTTCCGGGGTTCATCCACCCTCGTTTGTTCCTTTGTGTTCACAAAAGCTCTCAGCAAGGTGTTTTTGAAGGTTACCTTCAAAAGCAAAACATTTGCTTGAGAAAACTGAATAAAGGCTCCAAAAAGCCAGGATATGGCCGGGAGCCAGGACAATGTTCCCTGATTTTTCTTCTGTAGTGCTCATCATCTGTGCTGTGTTCCCAGAGTCCAGGGCAGATGTTCGTTATCTGGCTGAAGGACCGTTCTCGCCTTCTCGAGCCCGGCTGCTGTCGGGACAACAAAGTACCTTTTAAATTAGGCCTCGGGTGTTCATAGTCTGGTACATCATCACGTCAAGCCTCGGCCTCGACGCTGTGCCAGGCGATGGATTTCAGTGCTGTGTCTGGATCTCCTTCCTCGTCTGCCCGACCTCTGGGGCTTCGGGGCGTTTTTGGAGTCGCATCAGCTGAGCGAACGTGTGAGCTGAGCTGGGTGCATTTGGGGTGGGTGGGGACCACATGTGATGCTGCTTCCCTGATGGGGACCACCATCCCTCCCCAGAGATCTCTGGGATGGTTTGGGGGAGGCAACAACCTCCCCCAAACAACCCTTTTGGGGCACATCCTCTGTATGTTGTGCCCCGTTGTGCCTTATCACACACTCGGGGGTGATTTTGCGGCCTCTGCACCAGATGGGCTCAGTTCTGCGCCCCCATCACCAGCAGAATCAGCCTCCTCTGGCGCTGCCAAGGCAGCTGGAGCTGGATTTCCACCAGCCTCCCAACAAAAAGCTGCTTTTGCCAGTGTTAGTTTGGATTATTGCAGCATTTCTTGCTCTCCTGAGGAGCCAGTGTTGCAGAGCTGGTTTGCTGGATGGAAAGGGCAGGAGCAGAGCAGCGCTTTCGAGTGGTCCCCATTGGCATGGGGGAGTTCTTCCCCATCACATCACTCCAGCAGGATGGCAGCACTTCCAATGGGAATTCAACTTGAATCACCTATAGCTTCCCAACTGAGCTTCAGCTCTCGGCTGGAGTGTCGGGATGGTCTCGGGTGGCTCTGGCTGCGATGCTCCTGGAGCACAGGGGTGGTCTCCACACGGAGCAGCTCATTACCCTGTGTGGGACCTGCCCTCTGAGTGCCTCCCATGCCATTAGAAGGGGTATGATGCTCGTTTTCTTGTCTTAATCAAGTCTGGTGGGTCTAATGGCCCCGCACGTAATGAGCTTTGAAAGGGAAATTTGTTTTGATGCACGTTTGACAAACTCCAGAGTGCTTTTGCTCAACAAGTTATCCTGGCATCTGTTGGCAGGGGGAAGCCCAAGTGCCCAAATCGATAAGGTTCTGGATAATTGAACTGGGAATTTGGTTCATTATGTGAAGTGGCTGCTGAAGTGGATAATTGCAGATCTTGAGGTGTTTGTCCTATTTGCTATTTTGGATTGAAGGAAATGTTGGTGCAATTTCACAGGTGTATAGGGACAACATGACTTCTGTGGGGATCCTGTGATAGAGTAACAGAGCTAAATAACTCATATTTCTTTGTGTGTTGGAAGAAAATGGATGACGAGGAAAAGCTCTGGGGGGCTGTTTAACGACCCAGGTGCTCCTGCACAATCCCTTTGTGGGGATAGTGGGATCCTTCCCACACGGCTCCTAGCATTCCTTGAAAACTCACTGCTGTGATGAGGAGACCTTATGGCTTGTGGCTCCAAAGATACACTGAGCTCTTCAGTGTGGTCTGATTTCAGATTACTCACAGATTCATAAGTTCATCTTTATCTGGTCGCTGGGTTTTTGGTGTGGCACCTGCTGAGGCCCTTTCCATTGGATTGGGGCACAACATCAGTGTTAAATAATCTGAAATACTTGTGCTGATACAGAGCATTAGTGCTGGGTCTTCTTAACATGATTTGATCTTAAAATCAAGTTTTCTTGGGATGGGGACCCGGCCTCTCCCCTCTCCATGAAGTGCCCTGAACACTGGCTCTTCTCAGGGAATAACAAACACCAGCAGTTGCGTAAAGCCCCCGATACTTTATGCACTATTTCTGCAAATAATCCTTGTTTATAATTCACTCTTGGCAGAGAAATACTTTGAATTATTAAGGCACTAAATATTTTGCAATGAAAGAACGGAGATAAAGCTCTTGGCAGAAACAAATTGCCGGGGAGAGGGTTGTTCTCTTCAGTGCGTTTGGGGCTTTAAAGTATTATGAGAAATAACGTGCGGGGGGATTGGGAATTCATCACTTGATCAAAAGATTTGCTTCTCTCTTAAAAAAAGCAGCTGCTCAGTGTGTGCTTTCCAGAACCCCTGTAAATACAGAGTGTCCCCAAAGCAGAGATGTGGGTCCCCCTGCTCACCTGTTGTGGTTTAGGTGGTGGAGGTCTCTGTCTGCCCACAGCTCCACCCCCCCCAGTTTTTAAAGCTGTTTTCTTGTGCTCAGTGCTCCCTCGAGGGCAGATTTTCAGGGGATTCTGTATCCCTTCTTCAGGAATGGGAGATGCTGATTCCAGTTCATTGTGTTGGTGTGTGTCCTGCACCATAATGACCAGCCTGCTGGTAAAGCAGGGGTTTTCCAGTGTTGTGAAATGGAGAATCTTATAATTAATGATTTTGCCACCTGTTGCTGATTTTATCCTAATATTACACAGCTAGTGGTCCTGGAGTGATGGAACCAGACAGCTATGAGGGTGGATATGGGTGTATATACACACACAGACATTAGATACAGTTACATATATATATATATATATATAAAATATATATATATATTTTAGGTAGTTATACCTGTAATCTTCTAGCTCTTCTTTAGAGAGAAATTTGAAGAACGAACCAGGGGGTTTCAAACGCCAGTGTGCTCCCAACATTTTTTTTTTTGTCATCTCAACATTTTAAAGCAAACATCATCCTTCCAGTGATGAAGTTTCCAACCTGGGGTGCACAAAGGGAGCGGTGAGGCCCTTGCACGAGTTGCTCAGAGAAGCTGGGGCTGCCCCATCCCTGGAAGTGTCCAAGGCCAAGTTGGATGGGGCTTGGAGCAACCTGGTCTGATCGAAGGTGTCCCTGCCCACGGCGAGGGGATGGAACAAGATGAGCTTTAAGTTCTCTTCCAAGCCACCCTGTTTTGTGATTCCATGTGTTTCTTTTTCCCTTGCAGGAGATCTGTGCAACTGCAGCTCTGTGGGCAGTGTTGGAGTGTCCGAATGCAACCGCACGACGGGGCAGTGCCGGTGCCTCGCCGGGTACGCGGGGCTGCACTGCGAGAGCTGTGCTCATGGATTCTACCTGGAGCAGGACACCCAGAGGTGCCAGCCCTGTGCCTGCAGCCCCACCGGCTCCAGCAGTGCCCAGTGTGACCAGTGAGTAAGGCCAGGCGTCCCTCCTGCGGGGCCCGTGCGCGTGGCGTTGGGATTTGGGGGGTATTTTGGGACTCGGGGTCAGGCAAGAATGGATCTTGTCATCTGGTGTGAGTATTTGAAAGAAAAATTAAAAAAAAAAATAGCAGGAAGGAAGTTGGTCTTATAAAAATTCATGAAGATTATTCTTCCCCGTTCAAGGGCTGGATTATAAAAATATCCGTAGCTGTGGCAAAAGCCCTGGCAGCCCCCAAGGGAGTTGACTTGCATTTCTGAGTCGCACGGAAGCAGAACCTCTCCTCTAATGCCTTGTGCATCCCATAGTCCCTGTCGGACAGCACGGCTTTCACGCCTCAGCTGGGGAGGGGAGGGGAGGCTGGGGTGGAGCACAGGGGCTTTGGAGAGGTTTATTTTGTGAAAGGATATTCATTATGCTGGAGGCAGGCAAAGCTTTGTGCTCTGCCCTTGCCGAGCCTCGGGATGGAAGCAGCAGATTGACCACAGAGTGGGCTCCTGCCTTGCCTGGTGTTTACAGTCACCGGAGCTGATGCTTCGAGTTCTTGTATAATGAATGTGTTCCTCTTCATTTCGCCTCACCCACCCTCACATCTTGCCTTTTAAAAGCTGGCACGCAATTATTTTTCCTCCAGCCGGTGATCTGTCGGCTGTCAGAGATTCGTGGCTGAGTTGGGGGTGTCTCTGTGTCCCTGCAAGAACAGACTGAGCAGCAGCCTGACCCGTTGGGTCCCCAGCTCTTGCTCACATGCAGCAGGCTGCAAGGTCTGTCCTTGGAGGAGATCCCAGCAAACCACCCTGCAGTGACTTCCAGCCTTCCCAGGCTCCTGCTGCCTTTCTGTCTTTTAGGGTTTAGTCTGGGCTCAGTGTGTGTTGAACACCTGCACTTCCCTGCCAAGGCTGGAGCTGAGTCAGAGTCGAAATGCTCTGCAGGGACATGCTGCCTGTAATTATTTTATACATTATCTTTTCCCAAACACCCAAGCCCTCTGTTGATGTCCTTCCTTTTTGTTTCAATGCTGCAGTTTTCTGCTTGCATAAGCTCTGAGAATTCAGAACTTAAAAGTAACACTCCAGTTGACTGGAGTGACCTTCTTACTAAAAAAGGTGATTCTTGGGGGTGGAAAGTACAGAGTTTTTCACTTTTTTTTTTTTTTTTTTAGTGGCTGTTTTGGGTTTGGGAAGATGTGCCTGGAAGCATCAGGGCTTGCCACAGAATTGAAAGTGTGAATTTGGTCAGATCTACTGGAAAGGCAAATTGGGCAGAAAGGGAAATGGGGCAAATCTTGTCTTTGAGAGGTGGGAGAGGAGGGAAAGCACTGCTGGAGCAACTGGGTTAACTGGGAGGGAGCATTCTTGCCCCAGCTCTGAGTCACTGGGCAGTGGGTGAAGCATGGACGTGTGTGATGTCTCTCCACGTTTCTCTGTGTGGGGCGAGCCAAGAAACGCCCTTGGGAACTTCAGGTGAGATGCTCTGAGTTGTGAAGGAGAATGAGGTGGAGTCGGAGCATGTAGTGAGCCATCACACCACACCCCAGCGTGTGTGCGCCCAGGAATGGCAGGGACCTCCCCAGCTTCTCCTCAGCACCATTTCACAGCCTTGAGGGATGTGGGAGATGCTCATTCTCAGCCATTTAGAAGAGACAGCACAGGGCAAAATGCAGAGGAAGATTTGGGGAGGGGGGATGTTGCTAACAGAGGTCGCTCTGTGTTTCTCTTCCCGGCTCAGTGGGGTTTGCTGCAGACAGAGATGACCTCTGGGTGTTTTTAAAAAGAGGAAAATTAGGTCAGTTGTCTGTGTTGTAGGGCTGGGGGCATCAGAATGGCTGCAAGATGGGCAGCCTTGTGCGTGGTGATGTGTATGGGAAAATGGAGTGGGACACAAAGCCCGGTGGGGCAAATGCTCCCCTCGTTTCTGTTGTGTTAAAGTGGGACACTGGGGCTGAACACAGCCCCTGCCTGTGTGCTGCTGGGATGGGTGCAGGGATGCATCAGGGATGTGGGTCCCAGAGTGGGATATGCCCTGATGGGTGGGAGAACCTCTTCTGCATTGCAGTGTGAATCCAGGAATGAGATTTTTGGCTCTGGTGCTGGAAACCCTGGGTGTCTGCTGTCGAGTCCCTGGAGGAGCGGCGTGTGTCCCTCCGGGCAATCCCTGCTCGGGATGAGGCACGCAGGCATTGCCCAACACCAGCAGCCAGCTACTGCTTTGTTGACATGAAAAATCCTGTAAGCTCCATTATTTGTTTATTTAATTAATAAAGCACCAGCCCAACTCCAGGTTGCACAAGTGAATTCCTGCGTGCTGCCCTCAGAGAGAAGCGGCCGCTGTTCAGATCAGTCTCTGGGTGAAACAGCGGCGTGATTTTTGGACTCTGACCCTTTTTGAGGAAGGCTGATTGGAGAGGCAAAGTGCCCGAAGGCCAAGCCCTCGGGGCACACAAAACATGCCTCATAGGTTTCAATCAGCTTGCCCAGCCTTTTGTAAAACTGCCTTTTAAAGCACCACCATATGATGATTATTAGTATTATTTCTCGGCACGCTCTCGGGCCAGCCAGATGGCAACCCAAGTCTGCTGTTTGTTAACTAGACCTCAAATGCAGACTGTCAAATAAAAATAAAAAGAAATCCCTTTCCCCAGGCACAGAGTTGATTTTGGGAGTGCACATTGACCTGACATGCTGTCGCTATGAATGGCCTCCATGGCTGCTAATCAAAGGTCTGTTTTGGTGGTGGTTTAAATTTGATTATCTGGGAAGATCCACTGAGATCCCCCTCTGGGATGGCAGGGTATTTCTGTGCTCTGGTTTGGGTGGGTTTTTTTTGTTAGATGAAGAGCTGTGTGTGGTTGAAGCTGGAGCTTGCTGTGGGGCTGGATGGAGTCCTGGGCTGCTCAGAGAGGGGGAGTGAGTTGTCCCTGTTGCGGTTAACGCCTAGAAACCTCAGATAAAACCACATTTCTCTGGGTTGGATGCTGTGCAGATGCTTGCTAAAGATAGCTGTGGCCTGGAAGTGTTCATAGTCCATAGAGGAAGGGTGGGGAATGAAGCTGAAGTTTCAAGGGCCATGGTCAAGGTCAGAGTAGTGGAGAATGAGGATGGTGACTCATGTTGGGTGCACGGGCTGAGCTGGAAGGGCTGTGCTCCTGCTGCAAAGCCCTGGGGATGGGGACAGGGAGGGGAGGGTGGCTGGTGGTGGCCCCAGCCCATGGTGATGTAGCTCCAACCAGGAGCTGCCCCCACCAGCTACATCTCACACCATCTTCTGGGCACCTGGAGTTGAAAGCTGAGTTGTCTCTGTGTCCTCTGAGGAAGGAGGAACCTCCCTCCTGGTGGAGGAGGCAAAGGTGAAGGTGATGCTGCTGGAGAAGGTCGATGTACCTGGGCTGCCTAGCCCAGATCTCCCAGCCTTGCACCCCTCCCCTGGGCACTTATTTTTCCTTTTTACTTCATGTGAGCAGAGTCCTGTGCCTGAACTCTCATCTCCTGCTCCCCAGGGCTGGGCAGGGGGCAAAGCCAGAGGCAGCAAAGGTGGGTTGATGGTCTCCAGCCCCAGCAGCAGTGGGAGTGCTGGGGCTCATTGCAGTGTTTCTGGCCCTCTGTGCCCTGCACAGCTTTGCCCCGAATGCCACTCATGTCCCCAGCTGAGTCATGGCACAGCAGCTGCTCCCTCAGCAGCCCTGGGATGTGCAGGCTGAGGGGGAAGAGGTTTGGTTTGAGAAAGCCTTTTAGTTTCACAGCTGTCGTGCCCCGATGTGAGGAGCCTTGCGGGCACAGCTCCTTCAACACACACCAAAATAACTCTCCCGTGTAAACCTGTCGTCTGGCTGATGGATTTAAAGGAGCAGGATGAGGCCAGCCTGGATGAGGCAGCATGTGGTACCCTCCTGAGGAGCAGGAGACGTCAAATGACTCTGCAGTTTTTGATTTATTTATTTTTACCTCGCTGCCATCCCTGCCCTGTCCCCACATGGGGCTGCAAACACTGGCCAAGGGCAACCCTGTGGTGTGGGGCCCTGGCAGCTCATCTGCTGGATGCTGGTGTGGGGCTTCCCTGTGCTCCCAAGCAACGAGGGAGAGGTGGGATGACCCTGATTTACCTCCTGCAAGTCATTCACCCCAGGCTTTCCCAGGGTAGACCTTTGTGGCTTTGCTTTTCCTGCAGTTGTGGAGGCAGCAAGTTTAGCCCACGAGCTCTTGCACCCCAGGATTTGGGATGTGCATGGGGGAGTAGAGCTGTGAAGTGGAGATGGTGTTATGAGAAGCTGCTGTCTGGCAGAAGGGCTCAGCCTCAGTTCCCCATTTCCCTGGGAGGTTTTGTGTTTTAAACTAACTTACCCTGGTTCTAGGAGAGACAACTTTTGGTGCAGCATGACCTGTGCCAGTGTGCAAGAGGAGAGCTGTGGCTGCTGTGGGGTGTTTCAAGGATCACAGGATATTCTAAGATGGAAGGGACCCACAAGGATCATCCAGTCCAACCCCTGACCCTGCACAGACACCCCAACAATCCCACCCTGTCTCTGAGAGCATTGTCCAAATGCTCCTTGAGCTCTGGCAGCTTTAGTGCTGTGCCCACTACTCTGGGGAGACTGTTCAGTGCCCAACCACTCTCTGGGGGAAGAATATTTTCCAAATATCCAACCTAAACCTCCCCTGGCACAGCTTTGCCTCGTGGTTTACTTAAACCTGGGTTAACAATCTAAACTGGGTTAAAATTTTTCCACTTCCTTAAAAAAGCTGCAGACTAAACACACGTATTTGCTGCCATTGTCCCAAGTGAAAACAGGTGATGTTAAACTGGGATCTGTGGATTAATTTAAGTTGCTCCCTCTGCCTGTGCCTCCGTTTCCCCACAAGCAGAAGGGCGATGGGAAGCAGAGACTTGGAGGTGATGTGAGCTTTGGTTCCTGTGGGCTGAAACCCACTGCCCAAGGGTGCAGTGCTCTGCTCCTGTGCTGTCTGAGCAGCTTTTCCTTACTGCTGGCTGT